CTCCGTCTCATACCTTGCTGCATATGTCGTACCCGGTGACAGATGCGTTACTATTGTCGAACACAAACAGTAGACCATGGCCGAGTAGGTTAATTCAAAAGTTGCAGCCAGCTGATAAACAACAATGGCGACATGACGTGCGACGCGCTACTACTAGCCTTTGCTCTTTGATGAAATATGCCACTCATTTTTGTGTCCGTTGCCAGTCTTAAAAAGCCAACCCGTTCTCCCGAAAAAATCGCATCGTTCCAATTCTGGAACTTTGGTCTGACCAGAGACCGAGTATTTTTTTTTGGGGGGGGGACCTAAACAACACCACCACGTGTGGACTGCCTTGAACACGGTGATCGCATATATTCCCACGGGCAGCTTCAACCACGTGGAAGCGCAAGTGCAAACGCTGCATGCTGGACTAGTTTATCTTGAATAGGTAGATTACCATCACAACACTATGCACTCGTTACCATCACAACACGTCATAGGTCCAGCACGATCGTGACATCACAGGAAAAAAATATACATGCTTTTGAAATATTTAACATGGTCTCTCTCTCTTCTCTCTTGGTCTGAGGCTGGGTTTTTGTGGCAATTCAGATCTTGTTCTCTTTCTTTCTATCCCCTCAAATCCAATAGTCTTCCCGGGACAATGAAATGCTGAGTTCTGATAAACAAAGTAATCATCTATTTGCGAACTTTTAATCCAAAAATATCCGAGGCATAAAAGCTGTTAAGTTTACCTTCAACACTCCTCCATCGTTAACACCATGTGCAAAATAATCATTTTGTTCCACTTCATGAAGGCGCTTCCTCCATATCAATTTCCTGTTAATAACTGCCTATGATCAAGTAACTTTATAGCTATAATATATTATACTGAGCTCTCCAACTCGAAGGCACACTAAGTGCGTGCATAAGCACTTTCGCAGGGCGCCCTCTGTAAACACTGGAATACTTGTACATCTTTTAAGCCTCCCCCTTAAAAGGAGAATGACCCATGCGTGTCGCAGGTTATATGAACGACAACAGTGTTGCACTATGAACAACTGCCTTTGAGATGGGTCAGTACTGAAACTAGACTACATCGCTTTAATGGTTGGCTGTGTGATCCGACTTCAGGCAGGAGGACATCTGTAAGCCGACTGCAGATCGATCAATTGTGCATTTTCGGAGCACCGTATTTCGCTGATTGGTTTACGGCACTCAACATAAACGCTGCAATATGGACGATTCACAATAGAGCGCCTCAAGAGTTAGCAACGCGTTGGCCGGTCACGATTTCGCGTTTGGAAAGAGTCGACAGATTTTGCGCGTTGTAATTGGCCAACGCGTTGCAAACCCTTGGAGGCGCACTATTGTGAATCGCCCATATTCCTGTAGGGTCAGTTACTATACTGCACGAATGAAGTTTTGTCAAGTATTAACAATGTTACACTATCACTTTCCCTCTTTCTGGAACGTAAATTCAAAAATATACAATGGTAAAAGTATCTTGAAAATAGTAATTGCTGACAAAATTTACTAAAACAGTCCTAATCGGACATAACTCATGTATTTGTTAATCACAAATACATGAGTTAAGTCTCAGGTGTGAAATACACAACGACCAGCGCCACATACACTGCACTGAAAACAGAAAGCCTAAGGATCTCCAAATATTGACAATTTAAAGTCGCTTTTTGGTTAAATTCATTTACTGATTAACCCTAATAATCCCCTACAAAGTAGGTAAAATTATATTGAAATCGAAGGATTTGGGGTTGTTCGGGTTAAACTAATTGTATTTAAAGTAATTCAATGCCGGAATGAATTATTTTTAAATAAGTACACATTAAACACTTATCGTTTTTAAATCGCACAACGAATGACTTTTACGTATACATGGACCCATGAACGACACTTGCCTCACCATATTGTGTCCTTCACTTGTGAGCAGAGAAAATTGAAAGATGAAGTTCTGTGTGACGTGTATCGACGCCATTGTGTTTCCAAACTCGTGGGTTGTAAATGGATAGACTTTGGAACCAAAATGGTGTCTAGTTGTCATTGAAGTTGTCACAACTCTGTCTTCATACTACTGCTTGTGGGCCAACTGCAGCGCCATCTATAATTCCTTATAGAATAACACAACCGAGGATAACCATTGCACATTAACTCCGTTCCAACCAGTAGCCCGTTTGTTTCACATGGATCTGGATCACAATCAGTATTCCCAAAGCTGGTTCGCGCCATCCATTAGGTGAGTTCTGGTGTCAGTGAACCAACGTCAGATCCATTGATAGCGATCAAGATCCGTGCAGAACAAACAGCCCTCAATCACAAAACCCATGTCTCTCAAATCAGTGGGTATTATCCCAGTTCTGAACTCATTCATACAATTATCTTACAAACATTTGTACCCAAAATTACTACAAGTCATAACAACTAATGGCACGTTAGATAAGCGTGGTAAATAGTTATTGATACTTCGTGCGAATGCAGATGCAGTAAAGGAAGACAGCAAAGTTCAGTAAGTTGAATGAAACTTATATTACAGAGGTTGTACTTCACGTATATCGGTTCAATGAAAACACACATTTTGTGCATGTTTCCTTTACGACAACTAATTCATGTTATACCGTGAAAATCAGAATGGTCGGTGAAACTTCAAACTTTGGCCTAATAGTAAGCAAATCGATTATCAGACTAGCTGTAAAGTCCGGGTATATATCCCAGCCCTTTTTTGCTATGCTTAAACTGGTAAATTGGTTTCCCACTCGTTTAATTCTTAATGTGTTTACTTAGTAGATTTTTCTGAGCATTTTTGTAGAAGTTGAAATGAATTCAACTTACTCCTTGATGGAATGAAGCGTGTTTAGACGCAGTACCGTGTGGTGACATAGGCGGCCTTCGTTTATTTCATGGTAACCCGTCGGGCAAAGCTCTTTTCATTACAAGCGACTGGGTACCTATCCTCGAATCACTTGTAGGATACATCACGTTTGTAAGCTCGATGTGACGTACCAAATGATTGTATCCCACGGCTGTACCGCTAACCTCTGTTTCATGAAAACTGCATATATACATGTGTATATAGTATTACGGGGTTGCTATAAATGTCAACATAATCCCAAAGGTTTTGTGCGCGTGTGCAATATACACACTGACCACAAAATTATTCCATTGAGCACTTCTGCCCCATACAGGAATCTTCCCCTACCCCACTCTGTTGGAGCAAAATGGTTGAAATAATCTGAGGTCACTCCCCCTCCTTTTGAGTAAGGAATTGCAGCCGCTTCAAGAAGTCCTGCACTTGCGATGTCTGTGGAAAATAAAACAAATCCAACAAATACTGTCAATATAAAAACTGAAGTATCTGTCGATATAGATATACACCAAGGACAAATCCCAGGCCAAACAGGGCCTAAATGTATGCAAAAGCCTCTGGCAATGTGAAATGACAGAGGACACGACCATATCCTTCATTTTATGCCAGAAAAAAAAACACAATACATTCTTAGGTAACAGCAGTGTTGTATTCGAGTCTATCGCAAGTCCCTTCACGAGGCTAGTTATAAGTAACAGGGTGAACAATGACAAAAGAATGCTTTTGTCACAGTTCATTTGAATAGCTTGTGAATTAGCTTAAGACTGAATGAGTTGCGATTGACTCACAGGGACTTGTGATGGACTCGAATACAACACTGGGTAACAGACAGGAGAAACTTTTTCAGTGCCTTTCTGCGTCAAAACAAAATAATGTAGTCAGTATGTAGAACATGAAGAGGATTTTGATGAAATATTTTCTCACCCTTGCGCTCAGTACCGTTCCGTCTTGGTCATTCACGGACAATGTCTTTTCCACAACCCCAAGGAGACGAGAGTACCTGTAGATGTGCTGGGTTGGGGAGAACAAGAAGTCTCGTAGCTTCAGGCCAAGACTGTCTGGATGTTTTTCGACCCACTCCACATAGACCTTGAACATATCGTCCTGCTTTAAGTGCCCCATCAGGTACTTCTGGCACATTTTATTGGAGGAGCAAAACTTGACATAAGGTGCAAAAAGCTTTGCAAATCCCTCAAAAGCCTTGGCCAAGTCCACGACCGTGAGTAACCTCTTCTCCGCTCGTGCCCTCTCGACGACGTAAGACAACCTCTCTTTCCAGAACCTGGTGTGGAGCTTCTCGATGGCGGTGACGTTACTGAAGAGTTTTTCTGTCTGGATCTCATTCAGCAGCCCGTTGGCTTGGAGGTTAAGCAGGGTGCACAGGTACAGATCGACAACGACGCGACAATCTCGGACGCGGCTAACCTCTGTCGAGATGATATCCCACATGGCTTCTTGTCGGGTCGTCTGCTCCTTCTCCAACTCGCTCAGGTTGTTGTTCTCGACCAGGTCACGCCAGGATGTCTCCAGCCGGAAGCAGTCCTCGTCGCTCTCCCTCTTGGCGCTGAATGTCAACAACCTGGGGAAATCCTGCAACCCGTTGGCCATGAAATCATGCAGGGTTTGTTTCAATTTGTGCATCTTAGAGGTTCCCTCAGAGGCAGTACGACGAAGTGGTGACATCCCTTCCTCAGCTTCTTCCAAGTCTTGTCTTGTCTGGAAAGGCACTTGCATCAAAAACACCTTTATTTCGGCTACCTATAGAAAAATCCACCAAGTGTGGAGAGTCATCAGCATAATAAATCACTCATTGCACAAAGCTGAAAGGCACAATGATCTAAGCCTCATTCGTTTAAGAAATATTGATGAAATTTTAAACAACATCACGCGAAGTTCGCTGTGTATTTTACTATCTAGTACCGTCATGCCATATGGATTTATATTCCTGAAAAGATCACTGTCTACGAGACAGATGTCCTATTGAAATCGCTCATTTAACAAAGATAGTAAAAACAAACCGCGTGTCTCGGCCAACGGGAGGCTATTATTCGCCTCAATCCGTTCCACATCTTCAGAAAGTTGTACGGCTATCCACCTACACTGAACCATCTACAAGAATCTGGACCTTTCTATCAAATTTCAACTCACTTTTCTGGACAATGCTGCTCTTTCCTGACCGTCAGGCGTCCTCTCCAACACCTCAGTGAGAAGGGTAGGGTACTCGGCAATACGCTTCACCGGCAGGTCGAGAAGATCGTGCAATTTTAGACCTCGGCTTTCAGGGTTTCTCTCCACCCATTCGACGAAAAATCTAAACATCTCGTTGTTCTTATTCTGCTCATCCAGGTACTTCAAGCACTTGTTTTTTACAGTACAGTACGTGACGTATGGTTTGAAGATAGCTTCGAATCCGTCGAAAGCGTCAGCCAGGTCTTGAGTCGATGGAGGTCGCTTCTCGGTACGTGCTTTCCAAATGACATGGGACAACTTTTCCTTCCAGAACCTGGAGTGGCGTTTCTCCAGGGTGGTGATGTTGCTGAACAGGTTCTCTGTCTTGACTTCGTTCAGTAGGATGGCAGCTTGAAGGTTCAGCAGAGTGCAGAGATATAAATCGACAATGATGCGGATGTCGCGGAGAAAGCTAACCTCTGTAGTGATGATCTTCCACGTGGCTTCTTGTTGACTTGTAGTCCTCTCATCTAATTTAAAAGCCCCCTCCTGATCGACAAATTCGCTCCACGACTCCTCGATATGGAACCACTCTTCGTCTTCCCTCTTCGTGGTGAACGTCAGCAGGGCCGGGAAATCTTGGAGTCCGTAGATCTTGAATTCGTCCAGTGTCTTCCGCAGCTTGACCATGTTGGAATCCTTCCTGATCAGAGCTGTGACGATCTCCTCGACGTATTCGCTGGATGGGTTCGTGCCCTGTCCAGCGACAGCCTCACCGCTGTTGGAACCCTCTCCTGCTTTAACTTGCTCCGCTGGCTCTTGTCTCTTAGACAGTAGTCCTTTTTCGTCAGAAACTCTCGCCACAAAGTCTTTCACTTGAGACAACTGCATTTAAAACAGAAAGTAGAGCAAACTACTGAGACTTCTATCTGGAAAAAATCTGTAATCACGTTGTACTACTATATCGCATCTATTTGTAAGTCTTCAGACATTCATAAAGAATCACTACAATTACGTAAATCCTCCCGAGAGCCAAAAATACGGCAGAACCATTTCAAATCCTCTTAAACAAGAGTTACAGTATAAATGTTTAGAATCTTTGATACCGACTTACTATTTTTGACATTCCAATTTTGTCCTCTTCGTCCAGTGTCTCTGCAACTCTGAAGAGGAGGGAGGAGTATTTGGCCAAGTGCCGTATGGGAGATTCAAGAAGAACTTGAGGTCCCATGCCGCGGCTTTTGGGGTGTTTCTCAGCCCATCCTAGGTAGAATCTGAACATCTTGTTATGGACGATTTGCTCGTTAAGGTATTTTATGCCCTCCTTCTGAGTTGCAAAAAAATGAGTGTAGGGTGCGAAGTGATTAGAGAATCCTTCAAATGCTTGGATCAGATCAGTGGCTGAGGGGAATCTCTTCTCGTTCTGTGCCTTAGTGACGACTTTTGAGAGTCTGTCTTTCCAAAATCTTTTGTGAAGGCCCAGGATGGTCGAGATATTACCAAACAACCTCTCGGTCTCGATCTCATTCAGCATAATGGAGGCTTGCAGGTTTATAAGGGTGCTGAGGTACACGTCTTCCACGACACACAAGTCTTGGATGAACCCAATTTCCGATGTGATGACTTCCCAGATAGCATCTTGGCAAACTTCCCGTCTTTTATCCATCTCATTGCCTTGCTCCTCGCCGCCAAGTGAACGCCAAGATTCCCCAATGCAAAACCACCCATCATCGCCTGGTCCCTTGCCGCTGAACGCCAAAAGAACAGAAAAATCCTGAACGCCTTCAGTCATAAAATCATCAAGCACTTCCTTTAATTCGAGCATTTTACGATCCTCTTCAGGCGTAGAGTGATGCCTCAAGGCCTTCTTGCGAGCCAGAGTTGGTGTCCCTTCTTTTCCGTCCACTTTACTCTGTCCATTCGCTACCGGTGTTGAGAGTCGAGAAACATGCACCACAAATTCCTTCATTTTAGATACCTAAATAAAACGGAACATTGATGATTACCTCAATTTCACAATATGCTTGCAACAATTCTTCGGTGGAAAATGGTTCTAAAGTTCAATACTTCTCATCATCCGATTTAAAATATACCTAACTTACCCTCTCAGAGACTTTTGTCTTATCTTGTTCATCCAGCGAATTCTCCAAAGCAGCCAGGAGGATCGGGTATTTAGCAATTCGATGCAATGGCAAGTCCATTAGATCCTGCAGTTTGAGGCCTCTACTATCAGGATGTCTCTCAGCCCACTCCATGGTCGTCCTGAACAATCTGTTCTTCCCAATTTGTTCTCTCAGATACTCCAAGCATTTGCTCCGAGCGGAGCAGAACCTTGCGTAAGGCGTAAAGAGCCTTGGGAACCCGTCAAACGCCTCTGCCAAGTCCGACGCCGATGGCAGTTCTTTTCTATCCCGCGCGTTGCTGACGATGCCAGATAGCTTCTGCTTCCAGAACTTGGTGTGGAGTTCCTCGATGGCGGAGATATTGCCGAAGATCTTCTCCGTCTGAATCTCGTTCAAGAGCATGGCAGCTTGGACATTAAGCAGGGTGCAGAGGTACAGATCGACAGTGATGCGGATATCTCGAATGAAGTCAGCTTCCGTTCTGATGATCTCCCAGGTGGCAGCTTGCTGATCCATCTGCTTCTTGTCAGTGCTAAAGAGCTCCTCTTCCTTCACAAATGCCCGCCAGGTCTCTTCGACTGGGAGACTGCTCTCCCTGTCTTCCCTCCTCGAGCCAAATCTCAGCAGGCCCTGGAAGTCTTGGAGTCCGTTGACCATCAAATCATCTAGCGTCTCCTGTAGTCGAAGTAGCTTGGAATCCTGACTTATCTGAGCAGTGGTGACCTCATCAACGTATTGGCAAGACGAATCAGAGTCCCCAGAGGTGGACTTACGGTGGAGTTTATCTCCTTCCTGTTGTGATTCGTGTTGAACTAGATCAACAAACTCCTTCACTTCGCCTACCTGCAATAGAAAATAACGAAAATTTGAACTAAGCCAGAGCACGACTGCATACATTCTAACACAGATGAAATACCATAAACAAGCATTTTAAAGACCAATGATGTACAATTAAGCGTGTTGAGCTCACTGTATTAAAATTGCAAGGAATATTTGTTCCGGTTAAAAGTGTACTTTTGAATTTACCAACCTTTGATACATAAAAAACACCCCCAAAATGATAATTTGTGCGCGGTTCTCACCTGAAATTATATTATGACTTGTCTTGTAACTAAGCACGCATCAATGAAGAAGATTCATGCTTACCGTTCGATTTATCATAGTCGACTCAGTACCGTCTTCAAGTGTTCCTGTCTCCACTGCAGTGAGGAGGAGAGGGTACTCAGAAATTCGTTGCAGGGGGGAGTTGAGTAGGTACTGCAGTTTAAGACATCGACTTGTGGGATGTTTCTCCGCCCACTCCAAGAAGAATCTGAATCTGTCGTTGGTTTTGATTATCTGTTCAAGGTACTTCGTGCATTCGCTATGTTCTGATGAGAACTCTATATAAGGCTCAAAGACATATCCAAACCCTTCAAATGCCTCAGCAATGTCAACAGGCGATAGTATCGTCTTCTTTGTTCGGGCCTTTTCCAGGACCTTGCACAGCTTTTCCTTCCAGAATCGAGTGTGGGCCCTCTTGATTGCAGAGATGTTCCCAAACAGCCGCTCGGTCTCAATCTCGTTTAACATGATGGAGGCTTGAAGGTTGAGAAGAGTATTCAAGTAGAAGTCTTCGGTGATGCGAATGTCTTGGATGAAATTAATTTCTGTGGAGATGATTTCCCACATAGCTTCTTGTTGGTCTATCTGCTTCAAACCTAACCCATCAAGTGTCTCCTCGTTTCCAAATTCACGCCACGACTCTTCGATCTGGAAGGACTGTGTATCGTCTTCCTTCGGGCTGAAGGTCAGAAGGCCTGTGAAGTCCTGAAGCCCACTGTTGAGGACATCATTAAACATTTGTTGGAACTCAGTTAGCTTGGAGTCTTGCCGGACAAGACACGTGACAATTTCATCCACGTATTCACAGGAGGAATCATCCAGACTTGGTCCACCTACAGAAGCCTTGTGGTCCTTGGAATCAATCTGTTTTCCTGTCTCCTCATCCCCTCGTTCCTCATACCTTGATGTAGACTCGAAGGGCAGTTGTTTGACAAACTCGGTTACTTGGCATACCTAATAGAAGGAAAATGATCAACCAGTTCTAAAACTTTTATTCTTGAGCTTCAGGGCCTGCCTAGCACGTATAATTATATGTGTCGATCACATTATGTCAATATATAACATGACATAAGCTTCTTTCATGTGCCAAATAGTGCCAAGTTTGACCAGGTTTCACAGTTAACCACTGATAAATTTTGCCGGGTGCTACCGGTATTATTTTTTTGCATAGGTTACAAGCCTACTATCGACTCGGATAGTTATTAACACTATTCTTTACATAGGAATCACAGAAAATGGTAAGCAACAAGACTTACTGTTCTGGCCAATTCTTCTTGCATCTCAACTGTCGATTCCTCTATTTCTGAGAGGAGGACAGGGTACCTTGCAATGTGCAGCATTGGATAATCGAGAAGATCTTGAAGTCTGAGACCTCGGCTTTTGGGATGTTTTTCAACCCACTCAATGAAGAACTTGAACATGTTGTTCTGCCTTATTTGTTGTTTCAAGTACTTCATGCATTTGTTGCGGTTAGCACAGAACTCACAATACGGCGAAAACTGAACAGTGAATCCCTCGAATGCCTTGGCCAAGTCCAAGGCCGATAGACGGCTTCGCTTCTCTTGTGCCTTCTTAAGGATGACTGAGAGATTCTCCTTCCAAAATCTGGTGTGAAGCTTCTCGATCGCAGAGATGTTGCTGAAGATCTGCTCCGTCTCCACCTCATTCAGCAACATAGAGGCTTGTAGATTGAGCAAGGTGCAGAGATGAAAATCCACAACGACGCGAAGGTCTTTGATGAAGCCAACTTCCGATCTGATGATCTCCCAGATGGCAACTTGCTGGTCAGTCTGCTTCTTGTCCAGGTCAGCGAGCTCTTCTTCACCTAGATACGCCCGCCAGGACCCCTCAATCTTAAAGCAATCTTCGTCTTCGGTATCCCTCTTGGTGCTGAACGTCAGGAGGCTGGAAAAGTCTTGAAGTCCGTGGGCCATGATATCATCCAATGCCTGCCGCAGTTGAAACATTTTGGCCTCCTCAACAGACACGCAGTCGTAAGACTAAAAGGTTATAAATGAAATCACACAGGACCAACTGTAAAACAAGGATAACACTGTATACCAAGATCCCGGGGATGATATGTTTCGACCCTTTAATAAAGAGGATAAGAAAGAAAGACACTAATCCTGTCGTGAGTATTACCTCAGTTTGAAGGGTACAATTCCATAAGACTGTGGAAAGAGGTTTTTTTTTACCAGGTCAGCCTACCAAGATGCAACCTCCGGGTTATAATCAGGTGTGAACATATAAATGTCCAACATATCCCGTGCGCACTACACAAGTAGTAAAATTATACATACATGTATACCATGAACAAATCACATGACTGATGTTACCTCCTCAATTGGCCCACCAGAGGACAATCTGCTGTACTCCTTCGATCCCCTTGGTGATTTCGAAACCTCAGGTGACTTCCACATCTTCTCTCTCTCCAGTCCCTCACTCGCCTCCTTGATTGCTCGCACTGCAGACGCCTTTAGCTCCGATATCTGAACAAAAACAAAGTGACCCGAGAGAAGACTAACCAAAAAGTTGTTTCCATGATTATTTCGACAGAAATGTTTGAACATCAACCTGGATGAAATTCATCCATCTTCCACTTACTGTTTTAGAAAGTCTGTCCTGATCCTGCCTATCAGGTTTCCTCTCCAACATGACCAATAAAAGAGGGTACCTGGCGATGCGCGATAAAGGGATAAGCAGAAGATCGGTAAGCTTCAAGCGGCGGCTTTTCGGGTGTTTCTGGCCCCACTGTTGAATGTAAAGGAGGACACAAAAGTGGGAGAAGACTCAGGAAACTTCAAAACAAAACCAAAATATGGCATTACTATATGCGCCTATATATCATTCTAATGAATCCGTTATGAACAAACATGTTTTTTGATTAACAAATATTACTCAAAACCATTATTAAGACCAATTTGCCAAGATGAGGCCATCGTGTCAACATTTGTTGAGATGATTCTACTACAAAAATGACAAGAGGCCGGTTTGTGTATTGTTAGGAAAGAAAGTTCGACACGGTCTGGTGGTGCGGTTGCACGGTCCTCTTTTCAAATGTACCGTACAGGACATCTCCGTTTATGTTTACCTGTAAGAAGTATCTAAACATCTCGTTATCCTTGGCTCGCTCCCTAAGATACCTCTGGCAATCGCAATGACGTGAAAAATACTCGCGGTAGGGCACGGCAATACTTTCAAACTAGAACCAAACATATAAAATAAGAGTCATGCTGGGGTAAAGTGATTTTGTAGTCGCAAACGATGTGAAAATCTTGCAATATTCAACTACAAAAGATGAAAATCAGCTGGTGAACTTGAAGACTTTTGTTCACAAATAATTGTTTCAAAAGAAAGAACATTCATTCCATCATAACTGCAACACAAAAACCACATGATTTCTTACAACTATCAGTTGAATGTAATATCGAACAAGACACTGCGCAAAAGAAAACTTGATTTACTGCAAAGAATAAAACTACCCACAACTGTCTTATTTCTACAGTCTCAGAGAGTCAACCCACGGGAATGAGAAAGGGTATTTATTCTAGGTTTATGGGGATTCTCAGCAGGGTAAACCAGACGCATTAGGAGAATGATGTGTACTTGGGGTGCTTTAGTCTTATGGGGGACACAAAGACAATTTTATCGATGACATCATCCTTGTAAAACGCTTCCTTGATGCCAACGGGGACTCTTCAAAGTACATACACCAAATACTTCACTGGAATAGCTTGTAAACTTTGACGTAATAAAGTTCCTCAAACATTACTTAGTAATTGTTACTTACCCAGCCCTTGAACGCTTCAACCAAGTCAAAGGTTGAGGGAAGCCTTTTGCCACTCTCTGCTTTTTGGATGACGTTGGACAACTTCTGTGTGACAAATGTCGTGTGAAGCTTCTCGATGGCGCTAATGTTGGCGAAGATCTTCTCTGTCTCGATCTCGTTGAGCATAACGGAAGCCTGGAGGTTAAGCAAGGTGTTCAAATAGACGTCCACGATGACGCGCAGGTGACGGGTGAACATGAGCTCTGATTGGATGATCTCCCAGATGATATCTTGTTGTTCTCTCTGCTTCTTGGGCAAGTCGCGCAGCTTCGCCTTATCGGTGCATTTACGCTGGAAATCCTCCTTGTATATTTACAAAGATCACCAAAATGATCACAAATAATTATCTGCAGTGTCGATTGAAAGACATTTCCCTGTAAACAATCAACAAAGAACAACTCACGAAGAGTTAAAGATGAGTTAATTAAACGTCACATCACATGTCACATATGAGGTAACTTTATAACACGTTTGTGGGCAATATTCAAACGATCGTTTCCATTGCAATGAACTTACAATCATTTGAAAGTACGCCTCGTCGTCTTTGCGATTGACGCCAAACGTCACTAGGCCGGGGAACTCTTCGAGTCCGTTGACCATGATGTCATGTAACGTGTGTTTCAGCTTCGGTAATTTGCTGGAGTCTTGTCTGAAGTACGCCATGATGTCGTAAGACAGCTGGATTTATATACCAGCGGGCTTTTTAAATCGTTGGTGAAATTTTATCATGGATTTCCAACCTGAAAAGAACAAGACGTGTGATTACGAACTTCAACAGTCGCGACAAATATTCCTTACACTTGTGTGATTTGATGCCAGTGGCGGAAATTTGTGCTGGAAGTTGAGGGGGTAGAGGTCGTTGTTCATGATTTTGAAGTTTATCTGTAATTTGTATTCAGGATGGCATATTTATGTAGTTGGCCCTAATGATGTTCAGAACTAAGGACCTGTTGTTTTACGGTGGCGGTCAGGGACACAAGACCAAAACATGTAAAAATGTATTGCAAACGAGTGTGACAGGGGCTTTGCAACTCCCAATCCCCGCCAGACACTGAAGTGAAATAATTACACAATCCAGCCAGGATTCTACGAAAATCAGCTTTAAATTATCCTGCGTCAGAAGCAGACCGGGAATACGAACAAGAACTCGATAGCATTTAATGTGGAATATTCACCGCTCCAGATGTCACTGCGTGAAGTCACATATGGAACTCCAATCATGGATACATACGTGTTACGGCATGTACATGTATGTGCAGACGTGTCAATACACTCTTGGATTGTCCTTGAATTTTGGAACCTCATGCACGGTGTGCTGAATTATGAACCGAAATTTCATTTTGTGTTTTGTTTTCATATTCAAATGCACTATGGCACCAGCGTATTCACACACAATACTGCCAAAGTGTTTACTAGGCGAAGTCATGTCTGGTTTTTAAAAGCATTTTTTTAGCCTTGTCCACTTCCTTGTTCTGTACCGTGCACTTTGTATCCTCATGGAGGATTTTAGTTCGTTATTTTTGATGCTATTTCTGTGTCGTGGATTCCTTACAGATTTTCCTTTCGTCACTCTCTGCAGTCGAACACTCCCCGCAGACGGGAAGAATCCATCTTCTCTGACACTTAATGGCTATGTGGGGGAGGAAAGCTCACGGGAACTGGTAAATGGGGCGGATCCCGCAAATTATCTGGGGGAAAATTAGCCATTAAAACAGCCAGTGGGTCAGGCAGGTAGTTTAAAACGCTTAGAAGAAGCAAAGATAGTAAAGCGAACTTGGAAATTAACCATCATGCCATTATTGCGTTTACGGGGAAAAACCGAGACTTGAAGTACATTTCTAAAAAGATAAACCATAACCAGTCTTTGTACAACCCTGGACCTAAAAACCACTACCATGTTTTAAATCTTAAATCATATACAATTTACAGCCCAGCAAGACAATTTGTCTGGTAGCGGTACATCTAACCATGAATATAAATTATCATCAAACATGTAACTGCTGTAAACTGCTTTCGAAAATTAAGTAGCGGGCCAGCGTCGGGGAAAGTCCCTGATAATACCACTTTATACGAGTCATGACTGTACCCTGCAGCGGTCTAAAATTATCGAAATAATTGTTGCCACGCATCGTGGAGAAAAAAATACATTTGTATTGAACGCTCATTAAGGGGTTGGCAAACAAACAATATTAAATGAAGTAAACGCACGACGTCTGTCCATCATTATCTTGTTGTTAAAACAAATTCTTCTTCACTTAAATTTTCTGGATGTTATTTCAAATTGACGCCATCTTCTCTTGCCCTTGTCTTGGCATGATTTCCGTCTCTCGATTATAATTTAAACAACAGCCGTGCCAAGTCTACGACGTCGCCAAACCCTACAACTGAAACACTCTTGACGGAATAGGAATAAAATAAACCGAATAACACGACCCAAGCAGGGCAGCAAACAGTGACATAATTATGACACCACAATAAATTAACGCCACAGTTCTGAAGGCACCATTGTAATCGGCAACACTTTATACGCAATATCTATGACCAGATCAAGAGAAATGATACAATGGCAGTGGCGAAACTGCATTGTTATCAAATGAGGACAAGCGATTCGGACACCACGATTTCTCTCCACTGTAATAAGGTCAAAATCTTCGTTTTCCTATATTTACGTTTCTTTCCAACAGGTTTGCCCCATAATTCAGCACTGATGCTGTACGGTTTATGCTATGCGCGGGAGTAACAACATGGAAATCTTTCCAACATGGCAACGCCAGCTTTAATGACCGGTGTTTTGTTGAAAAGGCGCTGTACTGATGCGGAAATGACTTGTGCTGCCGGCATGTTGCTGGCTTTGTTGATAACAGTACGCTGCCTCACAGAGGTCATGAATCGGCTCAGCTAACACCCCTATAAGGAAACACTTACTCTACAAAACATCCCTCGTTACTCAGCGTATAGAGTTACAAAAAAGGGGAATAAAATGCTGTGGAATTCGTTTAAAATTTTAAACGTATAGTTTTGATTTAATTTCAAGCAACAAAATCAGATAGAAACATATCTTATTTTTCTCCTCAAAGTTATCCATCCATATTTTTCACCCATCTCATGTAGTCTTCGATCATACCGTTAACAAGTTATTCCTTATGTTCGCTGTTTAGAAACGTAATTTTCAAGGACCCAGCAATACTTTTTGATTAAAAAAGTCCATGCAAAACCTGTTTCACAAATGGCCGCCAGAAAGCTAACACTCTGTACGCGATAAGGTTATGAACGCCGGAACATTTTGTTACCATTCCCACATTGGTACAGGCGAAAGTGGGCGTGTCCAGTCAGATTTTTTTCTCTAGGAATCCACTAGGTTCGAACCCATACTTCGACCAAGGACCTGGAGAACGCCCCTTACGCTTTTTACTCCCTTCAAGTCTAAACATTGTTTTAAGGAGATGGGCAACTTCTTTTTTATAAGGATGACCATTGTTTGCCTAGTTGTCTCCTTCCTTCAACACAGAAAACACTAATTCAAAATAAAATCGCCTTGGGGGAGGGTGGAGCAAAACACTTCAATTTCGAAACTCTCCTTTCTGCTTTCCCATTGTAGTAATATTTTTTCGGGTTCCACCGGGTAAATTTTTCTCAAAGTAAACAACAATATTCATATTCATTGAATTTTTACAGCTCAATTTAATATTTAATTCCTTCTTTCCTCTTTCATTTTGCCGCTAAAAAAGGGAAAAGTTACAAAATACATTGCATAATTTTCAAGAGCAAACTGAAGGAGAAATTCAGTCGAATGTATGAAAAAAAAGAATCATCATTGCAGGTTTTATATACGTACCGTCAATTTGCAGTACCTCCGACGTCCACGAAGAGTGTTTTTCCTTTAACTAGGGCGCTGCGTTGACTACACTTACCGCTAGTTATCGGCTCTCGTCTAAAGCCTTTCGACGTTTGAGCTCTCGTCCTAACTGCGGTCAGATCACACGTCAGTGATGTTGTCCTAAAGTTCAGTATCCGCTTAGTTCCGGGTTCGACAGGATATCAGGGCTTACACAATAAATGTACATGTACGTCGAACATTTTCTAGCAATTCTCCCTCGGTCGCTTGCAAACTTGCCTCGAACAGTCACACCTGGCCTGTAGCTAGGAAAACCCACATGGCGCGTCAGTGTGGATGGCTGACTAACAGATCTCAACTTGCGCTATAGTAGTGTATAGCGTGTTTCATCAGCACCATTTTATAAACAATGTAATAGCCATGTACATGTATGTTCATATACGGTAATACACAAGCACTAAGCCTGTAATTGATTGGGAGGCCTTCGAATAACATGTACACGACCCACCCTGCTGTCCGCCATGAGGGTTTGATTCAGACGCACTCATGCAGTTCACACATCTCTGGCTTTTGTATACGTGCTGGAGGAAGGTTTTCAGGGTCGCACACGTCATGAAAGCACGTCAATTATACACTGGCCTGGAATTTGACTGCTACCGACATTTTCATTTAATTCGGAAACCTCTGCCCTTGATGAGTTTAGAGGATGTGAAACGCGCATACGTAATGTTACGGTGGCTTAGAAGATACATCAGCAATATGTTGTTTGATTACTTCTGGGGGTTAATTTTTGTTTGGTTTTTCGGGTGGTTTCATTCTTTAGGTTAATCTGTAGGCATGTTGTTTATTTTTAAATAACTGTGATGTCCCTTGCGGTGCACCGTCCACCGCAGGGCAAGTTTTGCGGGAACTTTGTAAGGTGGAAGTTGATGGTTTCCTTAATGACGGTCTTCAAGGCTTGTCGTAAGTCATCCTCCGTACTAGGTGTGCCGCGTTTGGCATAGGACGTCCGAAAGGATTGGGCATGGCTGTAACTTCAAGTTGGTGTCAGGGAGAAACTTCAAGTTGGTGTCAGGGAGATGCAGTTAAACGTTCAATCGGAAAGTTCGAGACCCGGGCATTTTTGGTAGTAGCAAATTTCCCAGGCAAAAGTAATAAAGTATGAAACAGATTAGAGACGCATGCTTTGGTTTGAAGAGAAATGACTTAATCGCTTGGACCGTTGCTAGCCGATGAGTACTTTTCCTGTCACTAGGTGGAGATAGCTTTCCCTTCAAGTTGTATACGGAAGAGTTTTGATGCGTGGACAGTAGCGTGTTTTTAGCCAGCTGATTGTCCACATTTTGTTGTGGAAACCGCCAGCGGTCGAACCAAATCGTCCGTTATACGCTCAGAAAACATCGGCGTGGTAAAAACGGTCAAAGTTGTGAAGGCAAAATGAAAAAGCGGGATTTTTTTTTAGAATTGTGTTTCGTACGACGAAATCTGCAGAAAGAGGCGATACAATTAGACTACCCGATAATCGACAAAATGGATCAAATTGGGTGCAGGCCAGCAATTTTTTATGTACTCAAATTGTCTACGTAATAGAACATTTTGCGGCCCATGAACTTGACGATTTGCAGAAAAGACAGGTTTAGTCAAGCAAAAGGAATGCCAGCTTGTGTCTGAGTGAGATTTGAAAGAAATCATGATCAGTTCCTGAAAATGGTACATTTTTCGAGAAGTGTACGTAGGCATCGCTTTTTCAAAATGGCGAGGGGCTTCACGACTGCTTTCTAAGGACGACATTCCTGAGTTCGAAAAAAAAATGAAGAATCTTACATGAACTTTAATTTGATGCGCGGTTTGAACGCCTGAGAAACTTCTGGGAACTTTTCTTGAATTTTTCAAATTCAGGAATTTATCACTGTTGTCTATGGCAGTTTATGTATCGGCCTGCAACCACATGGAAATGAAGTGCACCCTCACCGGCAAAGAAGAGAGAGCCAGGCTGGTTCGCTGACCCGGAAGTGGTCGATGGCCTTGCGCAGATTTTAGTGAAGGAAATGCGTCACAGGGGTCATGGCTAACGACGCACAAAGCATTGTGGGTAAATTCATGCCAGGTGTGCAAGCTCGCTCAATGTGTTACACAAGCAGCCGTTCGCAATTCCATGTTTTCTTTTTCCTCCGCATTGCTGAAAATATTCTCACCGCACTTTATTTGTTAATCCAGAATTGGTGATTGTACCAAGGCCATACGTAAAAAATAAATAACGCTTCGCTAACAGGAAGTAACCTCGCGGTCAAAGGGTGCCAATCGGGCGCTGGGAGACGAGCGACCCTGCCCTGCCCCCCTTGGAATGTGGGACGGCCCCTCAGGGTGCACTGAACTAATTCAAGCCCCATTGAAAATAGTGTAAAATTCACCAAGTTTGGAGCCCCGTGGCAGGCAACTGAAGTCCCTGAGGCCTCTCAAACAAAAATCAATGTGTTGTTTGATCCTTCAGATTTCATTTGATTTTCAATTTTT